TGGACCTTATTAAGAATAATATCTCTTCAGTGAGGAATAAACTTTCAGACCTAGACTATTTGGTCAAAAGATAGACAAATTGAGACATTTTCTCATGTCCTAATTTTGCCGTCATGCCTTCTTTCAAAAATGATAAGCGAATTAGTAAGAAAGTGATGGATAAAAACAGTGTTTAAAAAAACCCTCACACTTTCTTTTGTTATGTCATCTTTTAGAGAGATAGATGACCTATTATCCAGATCTAGCTACTATAAGATTGTTTGCTAATGTGGTCGATGTTGTGTTGGTGAGATATGCCGACATATTCGACAAAGGTTGGAAGAACACAAAAATGCTTGTGAAGGAAGCTGGATCCAACGGTCAGAGGTGGCCGAACATATGGTAGAAGCTGGACATGAAACAGAACAGTCTCAAACTAGCCGATATGCTGTCTATTGTACGTCTGCGGCTAAAAGATAGATAAGAGAGGCTATTTAAATTGATAGGTTAAGGGATACTTCGAATGTGAGGATTGGTGGTAGAAAGTTGAGCAGAAACTATGAGTTGTATGCACCCTATTCCGTGTAAGGTGATGAGGTAAACGTATTTTTGCTATAACAACCGACTACATTACTTATTTTTCATATATAAGTAGAGTTTCGAGAATACCAGTAAATCAGTTATATGGGAGGTATTTACCCTATTTTGTCGATTATTATGGAGGACGAAAGCTCAGCCTGTTTTCACCGAAAATGAAGGAGGAGGTCTCGTGGACTGCCTCTATCTGAACGGCGTATTTAAGCAAAACGGCAGCAGTACAACGGAATTCAGCCGTCCTCTTCTGGTGAGATTGACCAACGAATCTCTTCTTTATGCACTTTCATACAAAATAAAAGTCCCTTCCACAACTTTACTAAGGTTTAAGGACAGCTGAAAGTAAATATACCATCTTTTTATGCCACAGCTTCTGTTTTTACCCTCTTTGATTCTGCCTCATTTATTACCCTCTTTTCAGGCATCTGGCGAATGACTGGTTTTACAATTTTCCCACAATGATTTGGGTATAGCTGACTCTTCCATTAAATTTCACATAGCTTTGCTATCGCAAAAGTCGTTCTCATCCAGGGAGAACTGCAGTTTCGACCTCGCATTGGTCATATTAACATCCCCAGCGAGAGTTGAACCATAACAGTGCAGCATATCAGCTTGATACTTTAACCACTTAGCCATATTTTCACGAGTGCCCATTTCCACAAGTGTTCACAAGGCAGATGTGAATATCAAGGAAAACCAGGCAATCTTCTCCTATCACATTCTTTGGTGGGATTGTCGATGAAGTATTTTTTGCTATAACAACCGACTACATTACTTATTTTTCATATATAAGTAGAGTTTCGAGAATACCAGTAAATCAGTTATACGGGATGTATTCACCCTATTTCGTCGATTATCATGGTAAAAATAAGTTTGCTTCATCGAAAATCCCACCAAAGAATGTGATATGGGAAGATTGCCTAGTCTAACTTGATATTCACATCTGCCCTGTGACCCAAGGGAACTCGTTGCAATGTGGCCAAGAGTTTAAAGTGTCAAGCTCACATGTTGCACTGTCGCGGTTCTTCTCCCGCTGAGGGTTCTGATAAGACCTATGCTAGGTCGAAACTGCAGTCCACCCTGGATGATACCAACTTTTGACAAAGCATTTCTTCATCATCTTAAACGAAATAGGGTGAATACATCTCGTATAATTGATTTAATAGTATTTTCGAAACCTTCTTTTATTCTGCCTCATTTGTTACCCTCTTTTCAGGCATCTGGCGAATCACCATCGCAAGTGGCACAATCCACCCGGCTCTAGGTGATACATACAACGCACCTTGTTCGGCCAACATTTTTATCACGGTCTGTGGTCTACGCTCCTCATCGAGGCCCATCTTGCTGCGTCCGCAGCATGTACGGAGCTACCGAGTCCCAGTACATCTGCCTTCTCTTTGGCCGTCTCGAGAACTGCAGCTGTCTCCGCTTGCAAATTTGGCAGGGCTTAACGGAGAAAGTAGAGCCACTGATGGGGTGGACGCAGATGGAATAGGCTCATCAGGATCAGGATCTGGTCATGGTTTTGATTCCGGATCAGGGACTGTACCTGGAACTAGGTCGGAGGCGGGGTCTAAACGCCTTATGAGGACCGTCGGAGCAGATCGTCATGGCAATGCTGGAGGCGGCGAACCAGGCCAAGGGAGACAGTACGATGAGGGAGGAAGAATTGGAGGAATACTGGGAAGGGTAAAGATAGGAAACTTGTCTGGGCTAAGTAACCATCACTTGGAGACGGGCGATGCATCCAATGAGCCAGCCAGTGAAAATATACTGAATAATCCAATATTATTTTCACCTGGGCAAACAGACGAGTTTGAGGTGAGGGATAAACATTCATGCAGACTTTTACTGTTTTTATGATTCCACTTTTTTCTGTTTGATTTGCCTAATACAATCATAAAGAATATTTATTTGAAAATCTTATAGCAAGAGTCCTCTTGCCAAAACTAGTCCACTTTCTGTATGATTTTGAAGCAAGCAGAGGATCCAAGATACATCTTGGCTCCAGCGTGGATCCGTCTTAATCTCCTTACAAAACGAAAATACTATATCCTCTTTTCCATTGTTGAAATGTTGTTAGGTTTCCAGGGCAATATAAGTTTACCTGACATACCAACTTCAAGCCGAAGTACAGCTCGTTAGGTGAGGTACTAAAAGAAAGTAGAACATGAGCCTGGTCCTCCTATGCTGAAT